CCCTCCCTCCCTCCCTCTCTCTCTCTCTCTCTCTCTCTCTCTCTCTCTCTCTCTCTCTCTCTCTCTCAAACACATCTGAAGCCATCTGTGAATTAGGTTGGGTTGTCAAAATTAAATTGGGTTGATCAGCACCAAGGGAGACGTTCCACCATCGCTGAGGTCCTAAACATAGATGAACATGTGAATGAGGTTCCAGAAATACATACCTGCAAATGACATTCGGAAGTGTGAATGAAACACACGGGTTCTTGAACTCTGCCTCCTCTGCAAATTCGCGGACATGCACCAGCTTCAGAAGGTTTTTCCTCATTATCTGTAAAGAGCACCACACCGGTAAGAATCAATTTGACCTCGCCTCAGTGTCAGGAGGAGTTTGCAAGTCCTCTACGATTTTTTTGCCAGAAACCAGAGTCAATATCTGCCCCTATAAGAAGAGGACATTCTATCAGAGTGCTTTACGGGTAAATTATTACTAATCACAAGATGGACCAGTGCAGCCTTACCTGTGCTAATGGCGAAGTCTTAATTGAAGACACAGAGACACACACACACACATGGAGAGAGAGAGAGAGAGAGAGAGAGAGAGAGAGAGAGAGAGAGAGAGGGTATGCGAGTGAGGGCACATGGTGGGAGAGAGAGAAGCAAGCAAAGAGGGATAGATCAGGAGAAAAGGAGTGTAAGAGGTAGTGGCCAGCTATGTTGCACGCCCGGACGCGGCCGGGGGGTCCAAGTCGGCCGCGGCCTAGGCTGATGGCCGAATAGGCCGGGTTCGGCCTAGGCCGACCAGCCGACTTCGGCGCAAGATTTTTATTTTTTTTTCTAATGCATGAAAAATATATATATATATGGGCGTGTAGGGCTAAAAAAACCCTACACTCCTATATTTTTTTTTTTGGAATCCGACTTTGTTTAAGATTTTTAAAAAATCAAAAACTAAAATCGATTTAAACAAAATTAAAAAATATACATAAAGAAAAGCAGGATTTTTTTTTGGTCATTTTTTATCATGAGATATATGGTCCGTGAGTTTACCTGTATTTTTTAAGAAATGAATTTATGTTTTTTTGCAGAAGTATGAGGTGTTTTGAAAAAATGCAGATGCAAAATTAAAAAAAAAAGAAAAAAAGGGGTTTGATTGATTGATTGATTGATTGATTGATTGGTGGTGGGGGAGGAGTCGCCCCACCCCCCCGCCACCCACCACGTGCACACACACAC